TGAACTTATGCCTCCATCATGAAATATTGGTTTCTATTGACCATATTGGTTTTAGCGCCACTAGCGCTGTTTATTATAACTTTCTAAAGGAATTTCTAATAGTTATAAGTATCTATTTTAAAATATAAAGATTATCAAAAATCAAAAACCCTTTTTTGTCAAATTTGAATATAGAATTTAAGAGCAAAATTAAATATCTACTTAACTTGTTTGACCAATAATCATTAACACAAAATTGAAGTTAATAAACTTTTCTCTGATTATAATTAATATACATTATATACTATTCTAAAACTAATAATTAAGTTTAAACGTGATGGAAAGTTCTCTGAATAGAATTTCGCATACAATAATTTTTTTCGATGAACTTGATAGATTGAGCATTACGATTTAACTTATACAATGTTGCAGAAAACTTTCTTTCAATATGCGCTTATCGTAAAAAACAGTATTCTGTATTTGTTTTCTTTTTGCCAATATTTCATCATTCTTTAACTAATACTCTAATAATGAAATTTTGATAAGAGCTTTTGTTATGATAATGGATGGTGCGAAAGTCTCTAGACATAATATTTATTCATTTTTAACCTAGGTGAAAGATGAGCTAGATAATTTAGGATCAGAATTTTGTGGCGTTCAGAAATCGTCCGTCTGCTCTTTTGCTCGATAGTAAGAGAATCTTTGAAACAAAACGTTGAAACTTGGATTTATATATCAGCTTGTAGAGAAAAACCTGTCCTACAAAATATACTCTTTGAAGTTTCGTTTCATCTTTCAATAAAACACCTAAATTACTATTTTTCTATTGCCGTTATTTATGAAAAATTGCTTTTTCGGACGAAATAGAGTTTTACGTGGAATGTAGCTTCTCAGAAGATGCCTATAACTGCACTTGAGTAAAAGCGGCAGTTTAATTCTACTAGATATGTGTCTGCTCTAGAAAATTTTCGAATTCAATAGATTTTAGCATCTTCTTAAAAAGACTTATGCGGTTAGCAAAAACCTATTGAAAAAAAAATTCTAAGCCCATATTCGGAAAGAGTACGAAATTCTGATCCTAATCCGTCTAGAATACTTTCAAGTAGGTTAAAAATAAACAAACATTTTGTCTAGAAAATTTCTTACTATTCATTATATGACAGTATTACATAAGTATAACTATTGATAGATAGAATCAAAATAGAGAACCACGATTTTCATCATTACAAAGAGTAGATGAAGATTTATCGAATTGTATATTATTAATTTTTCTAATATATTTTCTGAATGTTTTTTAATCGATTCTCTAAAATAATGCTGGACTCGAGTAGGCTGATAATTGAAACTTCACTGTAAACACTTCAAGAAATAGGTTTGTTTTCAAAAAGATTGATTAAAAACTTTAACAAAAAGACTGTGTAATATACAATTCAATGTGTCTTCATCTTCTCTTCTTAACGATGAAAAAACCGCGACTCTCTATCTCGGTTCTGTCAGAAATTAAAATGTATTCTTTTCGAATTTATGAAACTATAACAGACGACAAAGAAAAATTTAGAAAAAAAAAACAAATATAAAAAGACTGTTAACTATCAATGAGATATTTAAGAGAGTGCAGCTGTTTTTCTTATTGTTAGCATCATATTCTAATTAGAAGAAAGACAATCACAACAAAAACGAATTTCCATCTTTAAAATCTACAAAGATTGACGAAATTTTTGAGTATTAGTAAAGCACATTGCTCTTTCTTTCGAATGTTTTCATCTTATTTATCATTCTGTATATAACTGTTGCTTTTCAATAATGCATATAGAGCAGAGGCAAACTAAAAATACAAAAATGATTTAATCAAATGTTTAATATTTTGTTTTTTCGAGTAGAAATGACAAAAATGGGTTGTATATGTTGAATTTTTACTATTAATACATTCAAAAATAAAAATAATCATTTCGACAGCTATATTTCATCTTTCCCTATTGTCGCGTTATTCTCAACACGATTGAAAACAACATTTTCTTTGTTGTATTACACACATTTGCTATACAGTTTCATGTTTTTGATTTGAAACGTACACTAACGTCGTAGTATAGACGAAAACTGATACTGAGCTTTGAATTGAAAAGAAAAATACAATCTGGAAGAGTTTTCATGATATTTTCTGTGAAGGCAATACTATAAAAAGCAAATCATCTTTTGTTCTTTTGTTTGCATGATATAAATGCAATACAAAAAAGGTCTATCTTCAGTCAGCATTGATTATCTCGATTGTTTTCGTTGACGGAATATAATATGAAAATCTATCTCCTACTAAACATGTGAAACACATTAGCATGTATTAATCAATGGTTTGTCAACAATCCAACAAAATGTCCGAATTGATTGTGAGACATTCACTGAACGAAAATGTCCTTCATTAATTGCTAAACTGTTTTCTCAATAATAGAGAGATTATTTTTATCAATCGAAAGATTGTAAAAAGGTAGTTCTCATATCTTGAGTCATATTATTTTATCTTTCATCATAGATAATTTCATATAAAGTACTAGACAAACATGAGATCGAATATGCTTATCAATATATATATATTGTCCTAGTTGTGAATCACAACAACTATTAAAATAAGAGACTTTCCTAATTATAAGAGAAATGTAAATAAATTCGATTGACTTGTACAAAAGAAGTGAAGTAACTACAAAGCATACAGATTCACTCTTTCATATTTAATGGTTTGTCTATTGATTTTGAATAAATGTAAAGGACTAAAATGGATCGGTATTTTGTACATATATAGATTATATACGATCAAAAAGCATGCGAAAAGTGTCTACAAATCTTATATTTCACTACAGATGTTTCAATCAATGATGAACGACCAAATGAAATATTCATTCTTGTTTCTCTCATGGTGTACTCTGCTTGAAACTGTGACTTACAGTTGACTATCAATGCGTACCGAAATTCAATTAGACAATCGGAATATAATTCTCATTCTTCAATGGAAAAATATAGACAAGGTTACTTTTATAGATATACTTTTGATTAGCAATGAATCTTGATAATGAATATAAATCTTCCAATGCAAAGTTCGACCTATATGAAAAAAAACCTCTAATTAATTTAAATAATTTGTCCAATGAAAAGCGAAAATTGAATTGTCGAATCTCTATTAAATATTTATTTATTGAAAACATTCATCATTATTAAGTTATAATATTTTACTGATTATAATAAAATCAATTGTTAAAATTAAAATTCGTTCATTACAACGATGTTTTTTCTTCGTTATTCTAATATATCTTTGATTGGTGACTAGTGATCCATGGCCTGATGGTTCTAAAGCAAAACTGTACTTTAGCATATATAATAATTCCATTGAATAAATTTTCCTCAGAAAATCTTTCTGTTTGTTCTACTCATTGATCTGAAGTTTCTTTTTTCGTTTTAACTCGATCTTATCTGAGAAAAATGAAAGATAACTTTATAGACGGCGCCACGAATTTTTCTGATTTTATGTTTTTCTCTGAAAATATTGAGTTAAATTTACAACAAACGTTAGATTAATAAATAGAAAAAAAAACAAGAAGATTTTCAGAGAAAATTTTATCCAATAAAAATGGTATGTATATCAAAGAAAATTTTCTTTTGAATCAACAAGTCACGGATCACAGAGCATTGACGCTGATGAGGACTGATTTAATTCGACGATAAACATAGAATTGAAAAAAACAAGCATGACAATCAGTACATGATAAATGTATTTTTAACAACGATTATATCCTTAAATTGAATTCTCTATAAGTCTTTCGAATGTTGTTTCTATTCTTTTATTGTTGTTACACATCATGATACAGAAAACAAAAGAGAAGAGTATTTTTGTATTTATCAAATTGACTTAATTTTATTATAAACATCATGTTGTTGATATAAAAAAAAAGTCAAATCAACATTGAAATCTGTATTAATATAAACATTTAGTCGTGAATTATAATAAAAATAAATAGAACTTTATTTATAGTTTACGCATGAAAGTTTGTTAATGTTGATGATTTACTTTTCATTTTGTTTAGATGACATCAACTCAACAAACAGGTGTGCCTTTTGAACGTATTCGTGGCTCACCTGGATTCAATGTTAATAATCTTGAATGTTCTATTTGTCATGAATTACTTTGGAAACCAGTTGCCTGTCGAACATGTGAAACACCTTTCTGTTCAACATGTATCAATCAATGGTTGATCAACCATCCAAACCAGTGTCCAAATCAATGCCAAATATTCGCTGAACGAAAATGTCCTCCATTCATTGTTAAACTACTTTCTCAATTACAAATTGCTTGTTTCTATCAATCTACTGGTTGCAATGAAGTATTTAAAGAATAATCATATTTTCAATTCTATATTTTTTATTTCTTTTTTCATAGATCATTTCATATGAAGGATTAGATAAACATGAGATCGAATGTAATTTCCAGTCTCAACAATGTCCTGGTTGTCAATTACAAATAATAAAAGAAGATTTTGATAATCATATAAGTAACTGTACATCAATCGAATTAACTTGTCAAGATTGCAAAATTGTATATAAAAGAGGTGATGCTGATAGAAAACATACAGAAAATATTTGTTTGAAAGAACAAATTCGACAACTTCGAGATGAATACAAAGAGAATAAACGTGAAATGCACGAACTTACACTTCAATTACATGAAATGCGCTTATTGAGTATGTGTATTACTAATAGTTATATATTCAATAAAGATAATGAAAGAATAATGAATTTAGATCCATTGATAAAAAAAATAAGAATTACATTTGATGATCTCGACGGTACACTCGACAAATTATCTTGTATTTCAGCTGAATATCGAGGATTGAAATGGACTGGAATTTCTTCTATGCACAAATCGTACGCAATTCAAAAATACCCAAAAAGTGGATATGCGACATCCTTTACGTCTGACGGTAGTTCAACCATAGTATTTTTCAAGGATGATGCATCGATCGGCGTCAAAAATTCAAATGAAAAATTTACCTTTGTTTCTGTCACTGCATGTGCTGCTTGGGCTGACAATTTACAAGTAACCATTACAGGATGCCGAAATTCAATAGAGATCAACAAACATACAGCAATACTTCTTTTTGGTAAACCGCAACTTATTCTTCTTTATTGGAAAGATATAGACAAGATCATCTTTAAATCATATAGCAGTAGTGCTCATCCGGATAGCGGTGGATCGAACTGCACTCATGTTGTATTAAGTCAGCTAACAATTGGCCAAGTTGATTGAAAATAACATTCTTTCACATAGTAGAACATAAGTTTTATGGATTCTAAAGGCTAAGGATTCTCCATCATGAAAAAGTAAAATGTATTATAATTCATAGTTTACGACACATATTAGTTAATCATAGGATGTTCTGATGATTTGAAAATACTTGAAGTTTGAAGGTTACATGCAAAAAAGATGATCATTGATACAGTTGATGTTGTATCAGAAGAACTTGACGGACAGTACTAAACTTCTACTACAAGTGAATGTTTGAAGTTTTTAGCACACAGTGTGATGAATCTGAAGTGAAATTCAAGAAAATATAGGGTGGCGCAAAAGTCACTTTACCCAAAAAAATTGAATATCTCCCTTATAGCTCAAGCAAATGAGCTGATTTTTTTTTATCAATAATAGAGGTATGTTCAAATTTCATATCCATAAAGACATGCCTAGAGAGACTCTCTGTTAAGTATACTGTTTTTTTTCTATCTGTGAAAAATTAAAATTTTTCTTGTTGAGGTCAATAGTGATGTTTAACAAAGAGTCTCTCTAGGTATGTCTTTATGGATATAAAGCGTAAACATGTCTCTATCATTGATAAAAAAATCAGCTCATTTGCTTGAGCTATAAAGGAGATATTCAATTTTTTTTTGGGTAAAGTGATTTTTGCGCCACTCTGTAAAACAAAAAAAGTTTGTTACAATGAATAATAACAATGGTTGTCTTGCTTTTTTAAATTACAACACGAAATATCAAATTTTCTTTCAAAAATTATTTGAAGTAAAGAAAACATATATACTTTTCCAACAATGCAAACATAATTAAGCCGTGATTTTGATCTCAACTGTTCATTGTACATGTGGCACTGACATATTTCGAGTTCATTTCATTGCAGAAAGATGAAGATTAGAATAAGGATTTTTTTTTAGATGGATATATGGATAAATTATGCATTAATTGTATAAATCATATCACCAACAGTAAAGCTCCAATAATTCGTATCCTCGAGAAATCATTGAGATTAATATATTATAGCGAACAAAATTTTGAAGACAATCCAATATGACCTCATTTTTTTTCTCTATTCTTTTGAATTTTTCAATTTTAAAAAATCCAGCTTTTGGTCACATTCGTATATAGTCGACTCTAATGTGCAGGAATAATGAGAAAAAAAAGATGTTTATTAAATAAATTCAAAGGAAAGAATAAATATAGATTAGAGAATATGCATATTTATACTCTGATATTGTTGTTTTCACGAAAACTGTAAATCCCTCATACTAAAATAATGAAAATTAAAGTTTGAATAGATCTTGCTCCAGTAACATTTTGATCGGTTACTGGTCAATCAATGAGTTTTTTATGTTTCTGGTGAAGATAGTACTATAAGAAGCAATTCATTGTTCTATTCATGTTTCGATGACATCAATACAACACAAAAGTATATCTTCAGATCGTGTTCGTGGTTCATTTGAGCTTCATGTAGATCATTTCGAATGTGGGTGTGGGTGTGATGGGAATGCCGGCATCACTCTTAACAACCACATCTATACCGACGCCCTTGTTTTTTTCTATTATCGATTGCGGTCTGAGAAGAGTCTGTTAAATTTATTAATATAGGAAAAAAATTTTCCTCTATTTCGTCAACGAAATCAAATTGTTTCATTAGATCGTAAGGAATTTATTGAGATAAAACTTATTGAAATAGCTGCACTTGCTGATAAACGTGATACATCAAAACATCAACAATAAATAGCGATTTCGACATATGTAAGACAAAAACAACTTGATGATCAAATTCATCGTTTTCTTATTGAACGAAAGACATTAGTTTAATAGAACATCTTCGTTTAGTAGAAGAATGTGATGAATTATTAAATTTGTTAAAAATGAACCACGAAATATTATGTATTCATGAGATAAAATATTTGATGATGAAAGTTTTCAAAATGTTCATGCATCAGGTGAACATGAATTTTTCGAATTAGCTTGTCAATATTAGTATTGGAATCGAATGGAACCACATCGATCATCACATCTTGATAAGAAATTATGTGACGAAGAAATCAGTGATGTACGCAGTTGGCCACCATATAAACATCTAGCTGAAAATTAGAAATATGATCTTATTGATTTTTTTCCGCTGAATGAAAAAATGAAACACTGTAAAGAGGATTTACCTCCAAGTGGAAAATCTCCTTATTACAACCAATACTTTTTCTAATCGATCAGTTCTTTCTTTTTTTTTGCAGTTATTGTTTTCTGGGTACAGATAATAATAGAAAAAGCATTGTGATTTATTGGTACATTGTTTGATATAAATAATTAGAATAGTAGCGCTCAGAGAGGAGCTAAAATATGGGTGTGAGTGTCTTGTTCTCCACCAATCCACACCAGCATCCATAACAACACCTACAGTTACGTTCATTCCATACTCACACCGACACATACTCTTGCTTGCTTTTTTTTCTTCCTTATGTCTTGTGCTGTTGATGCATATTTCAGCAGTCAATAGACGCACATGTTCTCACTGGCTGCTTCGTCATACATTGCAATCATACTAGTCTGTTTCTTATGAGCCCCCATTTCCTAATATTCTAACTCATGGGTGTTTCTATGCAGCAGATTTTTCTTAAATTTATCTGTATTTTTTCATATTGATTAGAAAACTCCAATTACGATTTCTCTGTCACTTCATCTCTCATATCGTTTGGTAATTTTCTGACAATATTTTTAAAAGCAATCGTTTCTCTTTATGAACAATGACATGGTACATAATAATTATCCTTTACGAATCGCCAAATAACTTTCTCTTGTTTTTTTCTTTCAAACAAAAGTAACCCAGCACAGACTCTTGCTATCGACGAAAAAGGATTAAGGGCATTTTTCTCGCATTTGTTGACTTTGTTTACATGGTGTCTTTTCGTTCTACGATGGAATGCTTCGTATGTTTGAGTTTTTTTTCTGTTGAATGGATTTCTTTTTATGATGAAATGCAATGCGCTAAAGAGAGAATTTTCTTTTGCTTACCGACGTATTTTTGAAGTGAGTTGTTTTTTGTATTATAATGTTGTTATGGATGATACTTTTGTGCTTCAGTCTTTTGACATAAGGTTGGTTTTAACATTCTTATTTCAAGGAATATTTACTTTCACATTCTTTTTTCTGTCTATCTTCTTTGAAAAATAAATAGAGAAGTCGAAGTCTTCACAACTAAGCAATGTCTTAACTTTTTTGCAACTTTATATCTATCTTATTTTCTATTTTAACATTTGCTTTTCGTTCGCTCCCAGATTTGTCTACTTTCAGTCTCTTAGTGCATATCAATTATCTTATTCAATCCACATGTCACATATGCTGTGATTATGCTTGTGATATAACTTGATGGTGCTCTAGGAGGACAAAATCAGAAACAAACGTGATTAGTTGAAGCTACAATCATTAATCTCGTTTTTGTTCATGAACATTAATGGCTGAAATGTATATGAGTGAATTATAACTTTTTAGTACAATTGGGATTTTAGCTGTATTTGCGTAATAACGTTTATTCTCATTGGTCAATTTGGACAATTTTTTTGTACGTTACTACTCTCTGAGTGTTCCACACCCATTCGCTCCAAATACTTAATTACAGGCACTTTTTCATTTTCATGTAGAACGAGTTTATCTTTAAATTTGCTTCGTCTGTGTAAAAATCGAAGAAAAGAAAAGGTACGCAAAAGAAAAACCATTGAAATGCGAACAAAATGATTAAAAAAGTCCTTCTTAATAACTTTCCTTTTCAGTAAACAGTCGATTATTCCCTAAAAATTCGAGTTATTTTTACCATAGATGTAGTTCTCAGAGTCATATAAGTAGTTAAAATTTCAGTCGTCGATCTCTCATTGTTCTCGAGAAACTTACATTATACAATAAAATATAGAACGATCTTTTTCATGTGAATTTTCGAATAAAAGTGAGTTAAGATGAGTGGTATTTTACACTTTTTGATTTGTTTAACGGTGGAAAGTTACCCTATTTTTATTCCGAACATAGATTCTGAATTAAAACGTAATTTTATCACATAGACTGCAAATGGACTACTGCGGCTTGGAGAACGACATTTTTCATATGATATTTCAAGCACTAGTGAGTCGACATGGGTTGCATCTTATATTATTGAACTCATTCCATTTCGAAAAGTTATTCTACTTTTATTGCAAACATCGATTATGAATTCGAAAGCAGCTTCACATGTATAATTTCAGTAAACTGTGACCAATTTCTCGATTAAACATACGTTCTTCATGTTATGCTAACATTGAACTAAGGAATATCACAGCCAATATACGGCAAAGTATTGGGAAATTGCTCTGTAATATTGGCATAGAATATAATAAGAAATATTATTCAGAACATGTTTAAATCTACTTTTAGTTTTTCGAATCAATCGTACCAAAAAGTTGAAATTCACTCTTATGCATGTCTTCACTCTTTCCATAAATAGAAAACAAGTATTCTTATGTTTTTTTTACTCATCTATTCAAATATCAATCAAGATCTTTTCTTTGTATACTCATAAACATCGAACGGTTTTCGCCTAAATTCACTATTGCTGTTATAGAAAATTTAGCAAAAAAATGATAATTACACACGCAAATTATCAGTCGTACTATATTTATGTTGTTTTCATTATAGAGATAAATAGCTAATCTGAACGTATTTCGCCGATTAAAACAACGACAACTGATACATATGGCACGTGATCGCTTTGTGAACAGCACTTTCTCAGAGCTTCAAGAGGCCAATCGCAGTCCTATTGACGGTTATCAGCATTTTCCCGTTCAGACATTAGAAGAAACTATAGAAAAAATAATTCCGCTCGTCCCTGGTATCGTAGAATATGTATCCATAGCTAAAAAGAAATGCAATCCAAAAACAAATTTATTGACTCGAGAAGAATCAGCAGCAATATATCTTTACTCAATGCCAATATCTTTCTTTGAATATCTCAACAATGCTTTACGAGCTGAAGATCGACATGCACTAAAACCATGGTTCGCCTTTTTAAAGTTATTCATGACTGCTCTCAAGAAACTGCCGTCAATCGAAAAAACCGTTTGGCGAGGGGTGTGTGGAGATGTTGGTTCAATATTTGCTGATGGTGATGTGCACATTTGGTGGAGTGTAAATTCATGTTCGATGGATCTCAAGGTCGTTGAACCGTACTTAGACAAGACGGGCACTTTGTTGGCTATTGATACAATTCATGGGAAAGATATCTCTGCGTTTTCGACATTTTCTGATGAGAAAGAAATTGTTCTTATGCCCGGTACTTGCGTGCGTGCCAAATGTCCATCGATCAACCTCGCCCATAATTTCTTTGTCATTCATTTGCAAGAAGAAATAATCTCAAGGTTAGTTCGTATGGAAAATAGCTAAAGTCTATTAAACTAATGGAGAAGTGATAAATTTTGAGTTGTGATAGGCCTATAGCAGTTTCCGATTCTTTAAGAATTTTTATATTTAATAAAATGGTATGCAAACAATTGCAACTAGTGTTCATGGTAAAACATGTGGGTGGGAGAGAAGAGACTGTGCAATAAGTCATAATGATCTACTCGAAACTTTCACTAAAAACTGGTCAATTCGAGATAAAATGATGATAAATCGTTTGAGAAGATTTTAAGTTAAACTAAGCGAAATTGAAGAGTACTGTTGATTGATGTACTCCACGTTTTATCACCACAATAAAATAGGTTTTCAAACAGGCAAAAATGATTGATGTAAGCGTAGTAAGGCGATTGTGTGAAACTACACATTCATCCTTAGAAAAAGATTAAATCAAATTTCACATGAGCCTATAAATAAACAAAACATTGACTTACGTAGGATACATTTTTTCCCTCAATTTTCAACTATCCTGTGTTCGTCAGCTATCAAATTAGTAAGTGTCGGCAAATAGAGTCATATAGTGTTTATTTTTTATTACATCGCCGAATTAACTTTGACTTGAAAAGCTCGACTCAAGGTAAAACGTTCTTTTTTATGAGCATTCTTTAGCCAAAGTCTCGGCTGTTGTAAGGAAGGAGGTATATAATCAAGTAAATTTTACATGAGATTGTAACTCCATGTTACTTAGTTATTGTCTTTTCGGTCTTCACTCGGAACAACGCCGACCGAAACCAAACACATAATAATTTAATACAGAAGATATGTTCGAGTTATTGAAACTTGTTCCGTATTAGTCGAACAAGTGGTGAAAAGCAATTAATACTAAACATCTCTCAATCCAATTTGAATAAATCAAAATTTGAAAGAATTACATTTGAAAAACTGAATTCGAGCTCCTGTCAAGAGTCTAAAATCCTTGTAAAGTGTATAGAGCCGTTCGCGCTATGCAGAGCGTTAGAGTCTGTTGTTTTCCTATCGCGTGGCCTTGATGCATTTACGTATTAGAAGATAATCTCATTAAGCTACCTGTTTGACCTGATTTTACGTGTTGAGCACAAATCTGAAGTCAGTTTTTCAATTCTAAATGAATTCAAGTGGTATCTAGAGACAGGCATAGTCATTGAGCAGAAAAATTTACAAAATGACTCATACTGCTCTTATCTCATAATTCTTTATCATCAACACTTGATATTAAAATTAAATCTTCCATCTAATATGTGTCATAAAAAGATGGTACTACCACATGCACTTATGAAAGCTCGAAGACAATGATCTCCGAAAGACAGATTTTCGAATTTTGTATCGTATATCTGTTTTTA